TGGTCCTTTGCTTCGCCAATCTTCGGTCTACTCCACTTGGCCAGCATCCACAAGTAGTACTGAACACGGCCGACGTGGTAGTTGACCAGGAAAATGGTCACCATGGCGACGAAGATGCCCGAAGAGGCGAGTACACATGCCAGGAGGCGGTTGGGCCGGAATTCATGACTACAGTCCATGTCGAAGAACATGCTTTCCGTTGACTGCTGTCTGTCATTAGTTCGTCTCTGTGCCAGCCCATCCATTAAACGTCTTCCGCCCAGTTTTTCTGGACGAGAACATGTATAGCTTCGACCAGCGCCAGGATAAGGGTTGTACAGATTCAGCACCCTGTCATATGTGTCATGGGCCCACTCAACAAACCACAGTAGGTTACAATCGCACAGAAACGGGTTGTCTGAAACGTCAATTCTCGTCAGCCTATTGACAACAGGACCCAGTGCCGTTTGGTTGAAGCCAGCTAAGCTAGTTCCCCTCATATTCAAATCCGTTAATTCGAACAGACTGTGAAAGGCATCCCCTATCACCGTTATCCCGTTGAACGCCAGGTTTAAGTGTGTAAGGTTGCCCAAACCTTCAAATGTCATCTCTGTTACATACTGTATCCTGTTGTCACTGAGATCCAGGGATCTTAGTCGCGATAGTCCACGGAAGGCGGATTGTTTAATCACTGTAATCGTGTTGGCTGCCAGCTTTAGACGTTCAAGGTTGCCCAAACCTTCAAATGTTTTCTCTACTATATTTTGTACAAGGTTGTAACTGAGATCAAGAAAGCTGAGCCGCGATAGTTCACGGAAGGCGGATTGTTTAATTGTAGTGATGTCGTTATGACTGAGATCCAGATATGTCAGTTGGTCCAACCCGGGTATGTGTACCTTGTCGATACGCTGGACGTGGTTGAAAGAAAGAGTCAACGTTTTCAGATGTTTTAGGACTCCCGAATCATAATCAAGATCAAGATTTATACTTTCTATAGCATTGTGATCCAGCCTCAGCGTTTGCAAAGTAGATTGCTCACACGGCAGTCCATAGTCAATAGTGTCGATATCATTGTTTGAAAGGTCGAGATACCGTAAATTCGTAATGCAGTATCCATAGGTGTCTTCTATATTGTTGTGCTGCAAGTCAAGTACGGTAATATTCGGAGGTAGACAAGAACCCTTGAAAACAGGAATTGCATTATGACTCAAATTCAGGTGATGCACGCTTTTTAAACCACGGAGATCAAATGACAAAGGGTTGTCACACGGTGTTTGACCTGTATATCTACTGTGTAACTCATTTTGACTGAGATCGAGATAGTCCAAGGTCTCGACTGGAAGTTGAGCTAGTGAGGTTTCCAATTTGTTGTCGCTCAAATCAAGATGAGTGAGAGAGGTTAGTCCTTCAAACGCGTCTTGTGGTAAAGTAAAAATTGTGTTACGTGTCAAGTTGAGATGAGTGAGTGAGGACAGTCCGCTGAACGTCTTGTCTTGTAAAGTCTTTAACGAGCCCCGCGTCAAATCCAACCTTTGTAAATGTTGCAAACCTGCGAAGGTGTTACTTTGTATAGCATTAATGTAATGAATACCTAAAATCAAAGTTTTCAAATCTTTCAGACCTTTTAGAGTATCGGGTGTCATTTTGTCGATTCGCGGCATGGCAAACGACAACGTCTGAACCTGCGTGTGTCGGAGTTCAGGCAGGACGTCCAAAATAGTGGGGTATGAATCGGAGTTGAGTTCCAACGTCTGCAGTTGTGTGAGTGATTTCAGCAGACCGGGGGCTATTGGGGCGTCAATGAGTAAATTTGTCAGGTTTTGTAACGGCTGGAACATTTGAATATTCAGGGGGTAGTCGATAGATGAATATATTGCTATAGACTCTAATTTAGACAGGTTTCTAAATACATGTCCAAAGTAGAGGTCACTGGCTCTTGGTAGGTGATGTAGACTCAGATTTTGAAGCCTGTGCAGCGGTGCCCACAGTAGGCGCCGTTGCAAGAACCCACTTCCGCTTTGGACTCTTCTAATGGTGTTATGTTGTTCTTCTTCTATGAGGTGACCGAGTTCCGTTATGTTCAGACTTTCCAGTGAAGTTAAGGAGTCAAACATGTGATCGGGAAAACTGTTGACATTTTTCACACGGAGTTCTAGATGTCTCAGTCTAGATAACCCCATGAACACCCCCTCACTGAATGTTTCGGTGTAAGTCGTCACGGCCAGATAGTTTAAGTTTCGCAGATCGTGGAAAAGTTCATCTCGAAGAGAATATACGGGTGCCCGCCCATCTGCACGCATATCAAGACGTTCTAAATTCTCCAACCCAGCAAACGTACCGACCTCGATGGTCGTTAGATTATTATAAGACAGGTCTAGGGATTTCAGATTCCTTAACCCTCTAAACGAGTGGTTGGACAGGTTAGTTATGTTGTTCCAACTGAGATTCACTATGATTACAGAATCGGGGATGTCGGTTGGTATTTGGCTTAGACGGGCGTTCGTTGGACTGTCCCATACATCCCCTGTACACACCACAGTTGTGGAGTTCCAGGTCTGACACACAGGTGGGGGGAGTTGTCCTCTAACCCGTCCATGTTGGGCGATGAACGTGGAAACCACAGCCAGGCAGACTGCGAGAAGAGCGAATTTAGACTCCATGTCGATCTGGTGTATTCTTCTTGTTGTGAACCTGTGGAAAATACGAATATCTGGTAAGTAAGCTTGTGTATGAGGTAGAAAAGGAAGCATGACAGTGCATTATGGGTTGGCACGTTGCTGAAATTTGCCGAATTTATACTCCTTTATTTTCTTTATTCCTAAGTTCCTCATAGATTCAGCCTATGTCTGCAATTAATAAGCCATTAATTCAAGCCAAGAGAGAGAATTAATCCATTCATAGCCTTCAATATGTGCGATATGCTGATATTACCAACAATATGTAGATTCTCAACACCATAATGTCAAGCCTTTTGAGACGAGGCTACTAAATAATCAACCTTTTCTGAAAGGAGTTGATTCAGGTTTGCCGTGTTTTAAGTTTGGAGGAAACGGAGGAGAGTTACAGATATGTGCAAAGGGTTTAGACACCAAACAAGCGGGGCGCCAAAACATCGCCTTGTTCAGGGATAGAAGATACACTCACTACACCCAGGCGTAAGCGTCCCAGGACTCGAAATTTAAGGTGGTCCAATGGCCACTGACCACTAAAATCTAGGCTGGGACAACTAAAAAGACACTTTGGGACATCGGAATGTCAGTCCGTCTTGTGCCAGATTTTGCATCCGGAAAAGTCCCCCCGAATTTCCTGTCTACTCTGCATAGTATAGTGCGCCTGGGAGTGAACATAAGCAAAATAAAGTTGACTTCATACAATACTTCCCCAAAATCAGGTTGGGACAGTTCATCCTCACTTCGGGACAATTGAAATTAATTTTTGGGACAGTGCTGGGACAATAGGAAGAAAAGTTAATTTCGAGGCCTGCACTGCACCGCCATGAACATTCTTGACTTTCAACACAATACGTCGTTTTGTTTCGGATCGGAAATCGGATACGTCTGAGAAAGTCAGGTTCACAAAGCAGGTTACCGCATAAATAGACCACTTCTGCTTCCCAACACGCAAATGCACTAATCTCGTATTCGAACAAGACTCTTAAGAACAAAATAACACATTTCCACCTTCTCTACCTATCACAACATAAACATGCATGTTTAACCTGTGATATATAATGTATCAATGCGTTTTACCTTGTCAGTCTTATTCTACTGCATTTTTATATACATCAATATATTATAGCTTGTCAATTTGTACATGAGTCTGTCAATTCAGCCTCGAGGCCGCCATCGGACTTGTCTTTGACTTTATTTGTTTATTAAAATTTTCCAGCAGATACGTAGAAGGGGAGGGAGAACAGGTGGGTCACCTTTTCCAGCTCCTTCCCCTAATTACATCAATAAAAAAAACATTGAGAAACATCATTGGAATTGTACACATTATACAAATAGATATACATACAATAGCGTGGACCTAGAACACCAGTCAGTGTGGTCTTAAATCTATGCATGAAGCACATCTGCAAGGCGAAGACCATGTACACGTACATGGAATGTCTGTATCAAAGTTATCCTGAAACCTGTTGTTTACTGACAGGACAAGACGCCGTTTGAATGACAAACTGTCGGACTTGACGCTGCAACTCCCAAGACCCCAATTGGCGTTTCTAGTTTATTCCATTCAGCCACTAGTCGGGGGATGTACGACATTTGATACATACTGCCCCTATTTAGACTAGTGGATAATGACATAGTTCTGCTAGTTCTCTAAATCGTATACATTGGCCAAGGACTTCACAAAAAGCATAATGCCAGAAATCTATCTCCTGTGCGAAAGCGGTAGCAGGTTGAGATACTGTAATCTACCCTTAGCTTATAGTCGAGGGAACGAGCGTCTGCGTTTGCACTTACAATGAGCCTGGTTGCCCACCTCTGCACACCATCCAATAGGTCCATTAGATTGTGGGACAGAGTTGACCAAATCTGACTTCAGTATTCTAACAATGGTCTAGCCAGTGTTATATATAGGGATTTGCGTACCATCAGACTGAATTCGTAACCAACAGTGCGTATGTACGTATACTTCAATAATAAACCTGTCTACTACCATTTCTACTTATGCACTTCTGTCGCCAATTACTTGTTTACGGAAAACATTTTGGCACAACAAGCGTCATCAACATACTTTCTGTATGCAAATGAAGCGTCATCAACATACGTTCTGTATGCAGATGAAGCAATAAAAATATAGCTAGTGAGCACCTTTTAAGTGATACCCCAGGGCGACTGTCTCGCCGAAAGCTGCGCTGGTTGAGTCTAACCTGGGGCCGCTAGTCCACACCTGGTGCCCCGCTCCATGCTACTACACGTACATAAGATGGTTCCGAACCACGTAAACAGGAATGAAAGTATTGATTAAAAAATTAAAAATAAAGTTTGAAAGTTCAAAACTTACCTTCTCAGCTAGATGACTATGGGATTGGGTGTGTGGGTGTGTTGGTGGGTGGGGGGGGTGTGTGGAGAAGACAGGGCCTTCTCTCGTCCCGATCACCCGTTGATCTGTGGCCTGCTCACAAGACTGTCACCTGCGCTCCTCTCCCTGTGGTCCGTTCCGCTTGAAATGTATTCCGCATAACAGTCAAGGGGAAGTTTCCTTATGCAGCTACTATGTCATGACGAAGAAATGCGACAAAAAAAAGACAGGTGTTGACCGAAGAGCAGTCCAAGCGTTTCCTCGTCACGACACACAGGCACCAGGTATGTAAAGCTGCGGGTTTTTACAAACTTACTGTCCCATATCTTAACTAGAGCGTGGAACACACGTCTTCGTCAGACACAGATTTGTTGTTGTTTATTAGATTTACTCGGTTTAAACTTATGTACAGGAAAAGAGCATTTTTGTTGGCGTTTGTATGTTTTTGGTGTGTGTGTATGCCCTTTGTCAGATAGTGATCACAATACGTTGAGATGGCTTCGTTTTAACTTAACTTAAAAGTGAAGGAATTTCATACTTGGGGTATTTGGAAGTTAAGTGAAGGTAAACATCATTAATTATAATCTATTCAAATACGGCCTTATTTGCATAATTAATAGATTGTCATTGGGGGATTATAATCTATTCAAATAAGGGCCTTATTTGCATAATTAATGGGAATGGTATTGGGAGGGAATGCTAGCATGTTGTTCTTTGTTAAGGAACTGTATTTTGGTGGGCAATATGTTGTTGGCATCGTGGTAAAGTACCTTCCCAAGGGCATTACTGGAGTCTGCCTGGAATTCGAACCCAGACACTTCAGATTGTAGTTGATGCCATAATACGTATAGAGACAACTGCAATTGTTCATATGTAAAGGTAAACCGATTTATTGAAAGGAAATCTCTCGCATTCTACGGTTGTGTTAGTTGCGAATTTGAAACAAAGCTCGTCACACTACACCGGCAGACATTGGCATAATTCCAACTTATAATTCACTATGATTCTGAGGTGCCTTAAAAAGCAACAAGTCACAAAATAGCAATCAACATTATAACTACATTAGATGAATGTGTGTAAAACGACTTGTCACTACATGTAATAACGACACTCAGACATTCAAATCTGAATTAGGTCACTGGACGGTCCTGTCAATAGCCACAGGCTATGCAGTTTGTAACTGTCATTGTGTGTCTAGAGCGGTTCTTGGTAATGTTTACATGGTGTAAAGTAGTATTTAATGACTGATAAAATGTCTGCAGGTTCATTAGAAACTCGCTCATGTAAGATACGAATGTTTCACATTGGCCACAATGTAATGGGAAAAAAACTCATGAATGAAATTTTAGCTAGTACATAGAATATTATAGCGATATGCGCCAGTACATGAAGACTAAGTTACCAGATATATATATTTACAGTATCGTTATACCAAATAACCTTCTAATAATCTTATTACAAGACAGAGCAAGACCCATGCATTAATGACAAACTCAAGCATATAGAGACCGCAAAGTGACCAGAAGTGTCTAGATCTTGGTCTACGGAAACTTAATTATCTTTCATAAAATCTTTTACTACCTTCATGGTTGTCGACCAAATACAGACGTTGTTACATATACAATATATATATATTTGATCGATGAAAAACTATTTCTCCCATAGGACACAAAAGAACATTACAAAGTACATGTACTTCTTAATTCTTAATCATGGCCTCTGGTAAGGCTGTTACTTCATCTGCAGTATACTGTATCCCGCTAGATAGCGTCGCTTCATGCGTGCCGAAATGCGTGACCTTGGACTTCAAAATTTTGTGTCTAGGACATACCATTAAACCTTGTATTGTAAATACCTGTTATGTCTCGAAAGCTAATGAAAATTTTAATGTTGTTTTCTTACGATAACATTCTGTGATATTCAAAATACAAGCGTAAGACGGAATTACGACATCATATTCATCTGTTGTCAATTAAACTTGTCACACTACATGTATGTACATCACGACAACCGTTGTGTCTGTCACGCTAAATAAGTTTCCTGAAAATCACTATAACAGGTTATAAACTATATAATTTTACCACTTACTGGGGTTTCACACATTTCACTTCTACATGGCAATGTTCACTTACAAACAAATATCTACACTAAATATATCCTCCGGGGCACTTTTGTCTTCTTTACAAAGTCCGTCTGACGGCGAGGTCACATTTGTCGTAGGTCGTCGTACGATCCTGTTAGCTGTCGTGCGATTTTCAAGCAGACTGTTACGGAACCAACCGCCTAGAATGCTCTAAGACAGCATGTGCGTTAAAAAGACGGCTGAATCTTCTACAACATGCATCACTATCCCCAAAACGCCCCCATGATCAATTCGTGATTGTACGACGATCGTACGACAAATCGTAAATGCATCCTTACTTTCTCCAGTCCTACTATCTTCCCTGCCACTCCTAAAGAATACGAACATATGCTTGTGCCTCGTTGTTCAGACATGGTCCCGTTCTGGGCTCGTGCCGTTAGTTTTCTCCAGCAAGACCAGGTAGGGGCAGCGGTCGGTCACCACCTTCTTGTGTCCGGGCATGTTGGTGGCTGAGGCCGGGCCTAGATGGTCCCGACGAGACGGAGGATACAGCTGGCCTAAACACAACACAGGGCGGGATCCACATCAAACAACAGCCATTCAAGCTTACTTTGAATATGTCCTATGCTTTTTACGAGAAAACAAATAGGATGGCAAAAAGAATCCAGCGTTTTTAGCTGAAGGACTACATTAGCCCGCTAACCATTCTGCACTGGTTGGCCTAGGAGGGTTCCACGATCATAGGGAAAACATATCTTTCCAGATGGTGTTTCTGATCACTGCCAACCTGAGCACCAACCTGTACTTCGTAGGCGAAGTAATGAACCGCCCTTGTATGACCCATGGCGTAGTCTCACCACCGGGAAGCCTACGGTGGTATGGCTACCAGGCTAGACTATACAGCTGACCAAACAGATATCTATTCAGACGTATGAAACTCACCTGGTTTTGCCTTCTGACAGCGCAGTCGTCTGGCTAACAGGATCTTTCGCACTGCATCACGGAACTTTCTCCTGCTCTCGTTCCTTCGCGTGGTTGCCATGGTGATGGTGAAGATGTCCTCGGGGGCGCCTGCGCAGTTCTCCCCCAGCGTGGACGTGGACGGGCGCCACGGGTCGAAGGGACGGAAGTCAGATTCGTGATCATCGCTGGGCAGGGAGAATGAGTGAATGAATAAATGAAAGAGTGAATGAATAAATGAATGAGTAATGATTTTACCTCATACATTGACGCTTCACAGTAAATAACCGCTAGGCGGCCCATTATCGAACTGCCCCCAACCATCCACTAAATACAAATACAGCATTAGCAATCATTAACAGCTTCTCGAGTTATGGTGCACACAAACAAAAACACAAAAAACACGAACCTCTGTAGCAAGAAAGAAAATAGAAGAAAAAGAGCATAACCGTTTTGTTCCCATAACCGCTACTCATCACCTACCGAATTTTATACATATCACTAATCACCGTGGACTGGTGTACATTACCTGGAGGCCAGGCTGATGCCATCAGCGTTAGGGCGGAGTGATACAGTCTCAGGAGCCGAACAGCGGTAGTAAACAGTCGGGTTGGTGATCACCACCTTCCGCACGTAGATGTTACTCTTCCCAGACTCGTTCGTCAGAGTGGAGGCCTGGGAACTGGAGCTGGCCTAAGAAAAGTTAAATCAAAATAGCTACAAAACAAACTGAAGTGTGGAATTTTTTGAGAACTGATGACATACCTAAACGAAACTATTAAATAAAATGCCGTGCGTAAAAAGAGTACAAGCAAGATACGTTAGACTAACAAATATTCTTTTTATAATAATTTCGAGTGGAATAGTATCTTCACTAAACGGATGATGGGCAACGAGCAGAACGACAAGCTGACATCACACGTCTGCTTGAAGATTAAAGAATTGGTCACACACAACAGTTGTGAAGGTGTACCAGAGCTTACGGTACTCATGATTGATCATGTACCGAAATGTCGCAATGGTAGCTATGGTGTACTTCGGTCATGGCATCTAGATTGCGGTGGTCGCTCTCTATGTATAATCTGTACACTGTCAGTATGGTGTATAGTTTGCCAGGGGAGTTTGTATCTTACTATAAATAGGCGAAATATTATCCTTAACCCAACCACACTCCCCTGGCCAGTACTCATGGCATTGGCCCTGTTTTTTCCGAATTCTACTTTCCATAACCCTTCAGACCTGGTGGAGGCTGTATGTACCTTCTTGGGCGGCATCTGTTCGTCGATGATAATGTCGTCCGGGTTGATTTTTCCGTCAAAGGCAAAGACTGGGTTCGGCTTGATCGCTCGGTCTTGGTCATCCTTCAGACGGTTTCCTTTACAAATAAGCCACAAATACTGGTTCTTAAAGGTTACAGTATGCATTTTGTACCTAGAAAATGGAGGCATTGTTCAAACCACGTGGGGGAGTTACATGTGTCTACCTAGTAGCCGTAGCTACAGACCACAAACGGACCAAGGAAATAGTTCTCAGAGGCTGGCTCCTGGCCACTACGAACTTGAGTATGTTGGCCGAATAATGAGAAGTAGAAAAAGATCAAAGAACAGAATAAGAAAATATCTCACGGAGCTAGGTATACTATCCCCGACTTCTTGTAATCGTTAGAGATAGCACAAATTTCGGCGAATGAAATCCACACTACACACGACCAAGTTTAATTAAGAGTTCGGGGTAAATTTGACAAAGTTTGACAAACCTCCGGTTTCAGCAGTTTCCAGCGAACCGCGACGAGCTTCGCTGGAGCAGAAACTGGGCAGGAACTTCCCGAAACCTCGCCGGATCTCGCGAGCCTGCAGTCCGTACGAGATTGGGTTGAGCACGGCAGAGCTGAAAATATGGAGATGACGATAACATTATATTATATATAAGTTATACAGGAATGGTAATAACGCCAAGGAGGTTAGCTTTACAGCGCGCTTCATAACGTATAAAACGAATGAAACTTATCATTGTTTTGGACTAACGTTAATCCAAACTTTTCTTAGACCATCTTATGTTAAATCTGGTATGTAAGTCTCTTTTCGTGGCCTGCCCATTAGATACCATAGGTTGTACTTCTGATTGTTTGTTACTTCCAGGTACGGAAGCATTTTGGGTGGCTGAGTTGTGGGTTTGAGCTTGTTTGTATTTGTCCTTAAAGCTTTGGTTGCATTGTGGATGGGAGGTGATTTAAACAGTTGATTGATGGGGAGGTACCGCCTGAAGGTGACCCAGCACGCACTGGGCGAGAGTAAGGACATGGAGGAATTCAAAACGTGGTATGATGCCTGGTTACAATGTAAATTACATATACAATCGACCCCCTTCACGTAAACCCAGGTTACGTCCCGAATGTCTGAAATCACCGATTTCTTGTTATGTTTACCGAAGGAAAACATATTGTTTTTGCTCAGTTTCCTCTTCTTCTCCCAACAGTGACCTTTGACCTGAGAGAACCAAATCGTCTCTCACTATGGTAACTTCTGACGCCATATATGTGAATGTGTTTGAGAATTAAGAGAGCAGACCATATGCGAAGGTAAACATTATGCATTTGCTTTGTAAATGTCACTTTTCTAGTTCTAGTTTTGTCTTACCTGTAGGACATCCAGTGCGCCACCGTCTGCCAGACGGGAGGGACCTTCTCCTTGCCCACCAGCAGGACCACGGTGAACGGGATGTAGCACACCACGAACGCGATGATCACCACGCCCAGCATGCGGGCGGCCTTGGCCTCCGTGACGCGCATGCGGGCCTGTTTGTCCGTGACGGGCAGCTGGTTGATGGCGCGGCACTGCTTCCGTACCACCGCGAAGATTTGCCTGGTGGGGGCGGGTAAAGTTTATTGAACCTCCGGTAAGGTGAGGATTAACGTAGCCTGTGCTACTCGCTGTTAGGGACAGATTGGGCTTGTGGCCATACACCTCCAAATCCCCAGAACTACGAATAGGAGCTAAGGATTCTTTATCGCTATGAAAATCAGTACAGGCTAGGACATTAGGATTCTTAGACACTGTGGAAACTACTAGAAGCAACCCTAAGTTATCATCAATCATATTTTATACAACTAACATTATCGTCATGGACATGCTAGTTTCTTGCATAGCGATTCTTACCAGTAGCAGAAGCAGATGACCAGGACGGGCCCGATGGCCGTGGCCGTGCGGAAGGCCCGGCAGTACGTGTAGGTCGAGAAGTTGAAGCGGCTGGTGACGCAGCCGCAGCGGGCCTGGTCGAACTCCGTGGCGATACCAAACAGCACGGGGCTGCTGAGGATGATGGACGTGACCCAGGACATGACGATGGCCTTGCGCGCCATGGACTTGGTCGCCCTGTTGTGGTAGAACATCGGGTTGCACACCGCCTGTTTGCCGTGGCCAAAAACAAATAAGGTAGGCAATGAAAAAAGTAGTGTCATCTCTTGTTTAATATGTAGTGACATCTATCTGTTGCTGATCTTGAGATGTGGTTGTGGTTGGTGTTGTTTGGGTGCTTGTGTTGTGAGATTTTATTTATTTTCATTTTGCTCTGTCGGCAGGATATATTGGGTCATATTAAATGCCTTTTCAATGTAATATGCTACGGAATGGCACAGGTCAAACACAGGCTTTTCACATCCGCTATGCTGGATTAGTGCACGCGTATGTCTGTTAAACATGCCTACATGCTGCCACTTAATCAATTTACCCGCCAACACCTGGTCACCGAGATTCATATGGCAATTATTATGAGGTCAATGAAAAGCGTGTATATCCGATACCCAACAAAGGGACACAGGAGACATACAAATGTTACATTGCAGGAAATGCTTTGCAGTAGTTAGAATTCTTGAAGTGGGTACATAATCTACTATACTATCATTGTCGGTCCTGAAGGTTTGCCAAAACGCATGAAAAAAGAACGTCAACTCGGTCCATTACCCTGGTCAACTCGGTCAACTCGGTCCACTACCCTGGTCAACTCGGTCAACTCGGACAACTCGGTCAACTCGGTCCACTACCCTGGTCAACTCGGTCAACTCGGTCAACTCGGTCAACTCGATCAACTCGGTCAACTCGATCAACTCGGTCAACTCGATCAACTCGGTCAACTCGATCAACTCGGTCAACTCGGTCAACTCGGTCCATTACCCAGGTCAACTCGGTCAACTCGGTCCACTACCCTGGTAAACTCGATCAACTCGGTCAACTCGGTCCACTACCCTGGTCAACTCGGTCAACTCGGTCAACTCGGTCCACTACCCTGGTCAACTCGGTCAACTCGGTCAACTCGGTCAACTCGGTCAACTCGATCAACTCGGTCAACTCGGTCAACTCGATCAACTCGGTCAACTCGGTCAACTCGATCAACTCGGTCAACTCGATCAACTCGGTCAACTCGGTCAACTCGATCAACTCGGTCAACTCGATCAACTCGGTCAACTCGATCAACTCGGTCAACTCGGTCAACTCGGTCAACTCGATCAACTCGGTCAACTCGGTCAACTCGATCAACTCGGTCCACTACCCTGGTCAACTCGGTCAACTCGGTCAACTCGGTCAACTCGGTCAACTCGGTCAACTCGGTCAACTCGGTCAACTCGATCAACTCGGTCAACTCGGTCAACTCGATCAACTCGGTCAACTCGGTCAACTCGGTCAACTCGGTCAACTCGGTCAACTCGATCAACTCGGTCAACTCGATCAACTCGGTCAACTCGGTCAACTCGGTCAACTCGGTCAACTCGGTGAATGCGCGCGCTGATGTCATCCATAAAAATTACTTGCTGTTGCCTAATGACATCTCGCATGGAGAAGAGCCTCATTAGAAGATCTTATATAAGGGATTTTCAAGGATAACACGACGCCTTTCTGCGTCATACATTGGAACTAACACATCCTCGGATGCTCATTATAACCATTAACGCTGCGGGGAAAATGATTATTGAATTTTGATATCACGCTTCACGGAGCTCATTATTGTCATACGCTCTATACTGAGACTGTGACCACGTAAATTTGACAGATATTCAAAGACAAAGCAACGATTTTACCGTTTTTATGTGTTTTGTTATAAAATCACCGGTCACACAAATACACTTTTGGTTGCTGTATACGGTCGCTCTGCAATCGCAGTCTAGTGAAAAGGGGGACCGAGGAGGTAGCTGCCAATCAAATAAGATCAAATATAATCCAATCAAATTAAATGGATCGCCAGATAACCTGTAGCGTTAGTATACATTGGCCATGCGTAGATATAGTAAGATACCACAGTGTACATAGCTATATATATAAAAAGCATAAACGTACAAGAAAAGAAGCCTTTACTTGCATTCATTCCTTCTTGATGACAGGCCGCAGCTGAGTTTATAGGAGAATTTATAAACTCAATCCGATGTGTGAAGGTAAGATTTG